ATTATCAAGTCGGATCGCTGAAGCCGACGCAAAGAATTACATAGGCTGGGCTTGCACTTCATGCTTATTAAATGGGAATGACCGTGACTTCCCCTTCGGTGGACGTTACTATGGAATTCTTGGAACTCGACCGGGAGCAGTTAATTGTCACAATGACCCACAGCTGAGCCCAGGTACTGTGAAGTATTGACGAGGAATATCCCGGGTCTGTGAATGAGCCCTCTAATAAAGGTCCTACGCTGATTTCGAGCGAAAAACCAGCGGCTTTAAGCCCGATTCCCACGGCGCGCGGTTCGTCGTTGAACGCATTAACTGCTGTGGGCGGTCCCTAGAATCGTTACCAGAATCTCATAGTTTATTTCTTATAACCTACTTCTATCTGTGTGTAAATATAAATTTTAACAGAGTCAGAATAAATGAAGATAATACATAAGCACTGATTTCTTATCAATATTTACATTAATTGCAAATAAAGTTTCTTTCTGACTCTCTTAACGTGTTAAACGAGGTTCGTTCTTCGTAGAAAAACATACCGTGGGAACGATTGGTGCGTGTTCGTTCAAGTGCGATCCGAGTGATACTCGTACGTGTTAGTGAACAAGATCGATGTCTGATCGTAAAGATCGTGAACGGTCAAAGGAAAACAAGATCGTTGAACGACGCACACCGAGAATGACCATCACCCAAAGAATTTTAGTTAACCTTTTATGGTTCGCTGGCACATATGGCGTACTAGTGGCACAGAAAGAACCAGTAGTCGACGATCCCAAATATTTTAAATTTTCGATGTTTAGGTTGAAAGATTAATTTCTTACAAAGAGAAAAGAATAAATTATTGTTGATCACTGTAGTCGGTGGTATGACAAAAACTTTGCAAGTAGAAACGCGTAATGTTATTGTAACTGTTACTTCGGGAATTAATATTGTTACTAGAACTGTTATCGTAACAAGAAGTATTAATATTTGTTATAAGAACGTTTGTTTAACTGTTTCGCATTTTAATAGCGAAGAGCTTCGCGTAAACTAATGTAAAAGAAGTGTAGCATATAATTTATATTCAGAGGTTCTTTATATGAATTTATTCCTCGTGGAACGTAATTACACCTGGCTTACGAGGATTTTACATAGTTCCATCCTTGTAAATGACACTTAATATTTCGAATTTGGTGACCTTCGCCATTTTTCTGAGCTGTCCGCCTAGCGCGAGATTAAAAAAAGAAACTTATCAGCAAATCCAATCTGAATGAAATCATCGCAGATTCACGATTCAGGTCTTTTATTCCGATTTCAATGCCCGGAGAATACATTTCCAGCGCTGAATCGAAAAATTGTGTCATCCACGCGTGGGTGACCCAGCTCGCGACGCATAAATACACGAAAACGCGAGAGGAACGTCCAAGAAATGAGAAACACAAGGAAGCGAGCTGAAACCTGAGGATGAAATAGATGTACTACAATATCGGTGGGCGAATTATAACAGTTTACCAGCCCACACAAGGAAAGATGGGCACCATTACTCATTCTGGAGATAGAATAGGTCGTCAGCACCTGGTGTGCATTGTAATTCACCACGGACTACTTAAGAAGTTCTTGATATTATTGTTAGATTTACAATACAAAGAATGTTCGTACAACGATCTATGTACATTAACACAACCATGTATTCTTTGAACATTTCCACATATTCGTTGAATTATTCATGAAACATTATTTAGTTGAATACCTTGAAACCTACCAGAGTTACATATCACATTATAAATAGCAAAATGGTGTAATTTTAATAAATAAAGAGTAATTTAAAAAAAGTACCAACGGGAAAAAACAAATTCGGGAGGACTTCATTTGTTTAAGCAATATTCTAAAAAGGAATAGTTTTGTTTGGATATTCTATCGAAAAAACTGTTCTCTATCCTGCACCTTAAATTCACAGAAACGAAACAAATACAACTTCTGATAAAACTGGAGACCATCCAAATTGAACATTTGCGCATTAGAACCAAAGATCACGTTCCAGTACTCTGGAAATCTTGCTACAACGTTGGCAATGCCACAGTGCTCAAAAACCTCCTGTTCTACCGTAAAAGAAGGGAAACAAGAAAAATGTTCCCTACATCTCCGAAAGCATGAAAACCGTATAACATTGTGTACATCATATTCGGAAAGACGTAAAAGAGCGAAATCTACCCCGTATTTCGTGAAAACCGCCCGCTTTTCGCGGGTTAAAGGGCAAAAACGCGGCACAATAGTAAACGGAGGCATAAAGGCAATAAACAGAGGTTCGCATGCCAACAAACCGGTATTTTGCTAGTAAGAAGCTACATTACTTTGTTTCAACAATGCGCACGATGCAAGATCCATCCACAGTACAAAAAAAGGGCATTCTGCAACTGTGCATCAGTACTTGGACACTTTTACATCGCCAGACACACGTGAAAGTAGAATAATTCTTCAACTCTCCCTCATAGTTTACCGAACTACCACCACAAAGTTATAAGCAAACTTTCATTCATTAACCCGTTGCCCCACAATATCATGTAAAACTCGTGACACAGATCTCAAATAGAATTTAACAAATATAACCGTGACTTAATTCTTTTAAGTCTAAATGAAATATTCCTTTTTCGTCGTTAATTATGGTACCTCAGAGTGAACGTAGACATAGAATGAGTGCGGAGTTTTCTCTTTTTCTAATGAATTTTGGACAATGAAATAATTCTGTTGAACGCAGTTATAAAAGTAACATAATGTACGGGGTTAAAGTATGGTAAAATCACGAATTTGCTCAATTCTTTCTCGAACTATCCAACGAATCTCTTTTCAAAAACTAAAAAAGTAAAAGTGTTCGAGGCGGTGACACAGCTCGAAGGTTGCCAGTGTTAAACGAGATCAATCAACTTGACTTTATGCAGCGGCTCCAATGTGAGCAAAACGAAGGAGCATTCCGCGAAGGCCAATTCCCTGGTAGCCCGGCGCTGATGGAATCCGTCGTTCATCTGAAATGAAATCATGGGGGTAACGTTTACAGCGATCCGCCGCGCGTCGCTCTGTTCCCTGTGCGCGACGTGCTGATGATAGGATACGCGAAACGCCGAGCCGTGATTATTGCTAAGCCGAATGAAAAGATAAATTGAAATATACATTTCCAAGCTGTCCCACCTCACCCGCGAAACACAGGAAATCGCGCGTTGATTAACGCTTTGAGTGCTATGGATGCATGTATGCGCCTGGCGAAAGCCATCGCTGTAAACTGTGCACGCACATAGATATGTTTTTCAGTTACTTGCGTATTATACCCTTGTTTTCAAGGAATAAAATATTAATAATAATAGTATTAATAACGATGATGACAATAATAATAAAATATTAATAATTCAATTTGATGAATGCGAAGAATTAAAATTAAAACTTGGTTACGCCTTGCGCAAGCTAACAGAGTCCTCAGACGGCGAGATAACTGGAAAGAGTATTCCGTTCACACGGAACGTTTCGACTGAGAGTACTCAGGACTCAAAGGGTTAAGCGAACGAAGCCTTCCGTCCGCGGAAAAACAAGAAATATTATTACCCCCGCAGGAAAAATCAGACTCGCTTCCTCGGGATCCAAACGAGAAGTTTCACTTCGACTTGTTTCCCCTCCGACGACGATTTAATTAACCTGCCGCGGCCTCGCGGTCGGTCAAAGGTTGTTAACCCTCACGCGGACAACCGAATTATTTGCGACTGGACGGAGCTCCAATATTAAGATGTTTGTAACGTAAACGGTGTTATGATACTAGTATTTATAACATTTAGTATTGCTAGATATTTTTGTTTTGTATTTGCGGAAATATGAAGAAATTTTTTATTTATCAGATATAAATGTGAGCATTCGAGAACCGAATATGCAGAACGGGTTTTTCCAATTTCCAGGTGAATGTAACGAATTTTGAGAAATATAACAAATTCTCGGTTGCATACGCGAAGGATTGACTCGTTGACAGTTAAGCGAAACAAAAAAAGGTGCTAAGGAATAAAACGAAATTCGGTTCATGGAACAAATTACTGTAAAGACATGTTTCTAAATTCCGGCGACGAGTCTGTACGGCGGTCAACGTGTAGAAGGATTTCGTTAGGGTGCAACGAAACGCATCGGGATTAAATTAAAGACAATTTTTATTGTATTTTTTCTTATTTTTTTTTGCTCGTTTTTACTTTTTTGTTTCTTCGGAACACTGTTAC